ATATATATATATATATATATATATATATATACTTGTATGTATATAGGTGAGCGGTTTATATATATATATATATATATATATATATATATGTAGTTATATGTATATATGGGTGTATATATGTGTATGTGTGGGTATGTGGGTACATGTATATGTGTGGATGTGTATGTATACAATTTTTTATAATTTCTATATATGTATTTGTGAGTGTGGGTGTATATATATAGATGGGTACATGTATGTCTTTCCATAGATAGTGTATGTATGTATGTATAAATATAAGTAGTTGTGAGTTCATGTATATAATATGGTAGAATATAGATATAATAAGGTAATTTTGATGTGTTTTTGAATGCACGCACATGTGTGTGTATATATGTATATGTATATTTGTGTGTATGTGTATATGTGTGTATATGTGTATATGTATATGTGTGTGTATATATGTATATATGTGTATATGTATGTGTATATATATATATATATGTGTATGTGTGTGGGTATATCTATGCGCAATATGTAAATGAGTGTGTGTATGTATGTGCGTGTATATATCTACATATGTATGTGTGTATGCATGAGTATATATATATATATATATATATGTATGCATGAGTATATATATATATATATATATATATATATATATATATATATATATATATATATATGTATATGTGTCTGTCTATATTTCTGAGATGAGGTATTATGTACAGTATTTACATTAGTCGGACTATTGTCCTCATCTTTGTCGCCATATTTGTCACAACGTTTCGGCCGTTGGAATTTCGAACTGAACCCTTTATTTCAATCACTGGGGTAGACTGTTCTAGTTCCACGTGCCATGTTTGATGGATGTCAGTTATCAGTCATCTCCTGCTAATTTTCCCTCTGAAAGTTCTCCACTGCCTTAACCGGGTATTGAATTGACACTCTTTTGGGTCTGTCACTGGATCTAACCAACGCCTTTATCCACTGTGCCATGTGTCATTGTAGATTTTAATACACAAAGTCAGAATAATCTAAACTAATCACCCAAACATCGGGATTAGAGACCGCAAAGACAACAAATGTCATCTTATTGACATGGGGGAAAACAAATAACTACTGCAACAAAAATAACAATAACATCCAAGAAAATAACACAATTAAATATAACTGTAGAAAGAAAGAAAATTGCACACTTAGCAATGAATGTTTAGCCAATAACATAATATACAAAGCTATCCAAGATCATTAACATAGAAGAGAATATTTACACTAATGCCACAGGAAAAAAATCTTTTAAAGATAGATATTATAACAACAAAATATCCTTCGAAAGAAGAAAACACAAGCAATACAAACCTATCAAAATACATATGGAGACAAAAACAAAAAAAAAATCAAATATCGAATGAGAAATTACAAAAAGAGAAATCCCACACAATATTACCAGTAAAAATTGTAAATTATGCTTAGATTAAAAATGAGCTATAATTAGTTTTAAGAAAATATTTTAATCAAAATAAATTCATAAGCAAGAAAACTAAGAAAAATGGGTAAATGATGGCATATGAATAAATAATTACATTGCTATCAATAAACTAATTAAAAATAAACAAATAAATACAAATACAATATATCTAATATTGATTTTAATAAAATAAACGAACAAATATTAAGCATACATACCTATAAGCATGTGTATGTAGGTACATACATACACACGAACACACCCACCCCCACAGACACACACACACACATATATATAAACAAAAAAGAAAACATTCTATAAAGTCAACCGACGATAATTAGTACCCTAAAAATAGAAAAAATGCATCACCATATAAGCAGGAGTCTATATGTAACAAAGCGCAAACGTAAGTGTGCCTGTGTACGTGTGTCTATATGTATATATGTGTACGTGCATATACCTACATACGTATACGATTGAATGTACGCGTATGCACGAACGTATAATTGCAAACATATGCACATAAATTCAAACAATAATAAACAAAAAAATTAATCATAAATCTAACTTCCCGCAATTAATACATAAGATACCCCCAAACCAAATAAGAAAACGAAATATTAGTCTCGTGAATATATATAAATATATGTGTATATGTGTGCATATATCTATCTCTCTCCCTCTCTCTCTCTCTATATATATATATATATATATATATATATATATAAAGCGTTAATATCATTTGTATATCTTATATATATATATATATATATATATATATATATATATATATATATATATATATATATATATATATATATATATATATATATCATTTAACATCAATATCAATTATTTATTTAAAAAAACGAATGTCCCTAGCAAAAAATGAAACTAGAACTCATAAAAATCCAAAATTAAAAGCGGAGAAGTTATTAATTAGCTAGAAATGGCAACTATCGAAAAGAGGAAAAAGAATAAAAGACTAAAAGTTAATAAACGAGTGTAAAGTGAAAAAAAAAAACGAAGAAAATTTCAAATGATCACGAAACCGTAAACGTACGCACATCCGCACAGACGGGCGCACGGACACGAACGAACGTGCATCCGCACAAATGGGTGCATGGCCCCACGCGCACAAACGCACACGTGACCATAAATAATACGGAAAATCTTACACCAATGATACGTGCATAAAAAAGAAAACTCGGAAAAAATACAAGCTGTCAATTGCTGCTACACGAAACTCTGGAGACGGGGTGTAGAAAGTAACATAAATCTGCTAAGAGATAACCTCTTAGTTATATTTGGTCTATAAGATAATACAAGAAAAGGCTAAAATACCAACCAACACCGCAATCCGGGTTTCGACCATGATGTCGCCACAGGCAAGTGGAAGTATGTACAAGCCAAATAAAACTACTCCAATATACCAGAACACCAAAAGTGAGAGGGTAAATGTATGAGGATGGGGGAGGCGAGAGGCGAGAGAAAAATTTTAACCGAGGAAAAGAGGGGAAAGAATTATTATTTTATTCCGCTCATCCGGTTTCAGATGTACCTAAAAATATTTACTTAAATGCCTGCACTCTGACACAATCTCAGTTCTCTCATTTAGTAAGTTCACCTTTATCAGGACATGTGGCAATGCCCAATTTCTATTCCTGGCACAGCCGGCAAAATTACCACGAATTTTGCCAGTTTTTACCCTCCTTTTTTTTTTCTTTCTTTCTTTGTCTTATATATATATATATATATATATATATATATATATATATATATATATATAAGTGTAATGACATAAAAATTGCGTTCAAGTATGAAACAAACTATCAGCACTCACTCTCTCACTAATTATTGAGAACTTTCACCCATAGATATATCATTCCTTAAAATTTTATATTTTATTATATATGCAGGCTGTATCAAAAATACTTTTACAAAATTTGGTGGTGAGTTCCTTACACCAAAACAAAGACAAAAGTCCATATAAACATATGTTCACAACTCCTTCGTGTTTCAGTTATTATGTTTAAAGAAAGTTTACGATAGATGGCGCTGTGTTGTCATGTCGACTAGGTTACAGTTGTCATTCATGTACATTCGTGGGTAGTCTGTCTTCAACGTTTAACGTAGGTAGTAGTGAGTTAACTGAAGGGTTCGTTTAACAATGGCAAGATATTCATATCATGAGCAAGTAGATAAGGCAGCACGAATAGTAATGAACGTCACGCTGCATAGCTGTATCAAATTGTATTCCTAGACCGTAGGCAGCCCAATCATCTAACCTTTGCTGTTGTTTATCGTCGCGTTGCTGAGACAGGATCTTTGGCACCACAAAATATGGATCGAGGAAGTCTGAGAAATGCTCGTACGCCTGACCACGAAGGACACATTCTACTGGCTGCCGGGGACGATTCAGGCATCAGCCCATGTCAAGTGGCCCGAGCATGTCCTACACCTCATAGTACCGCATGGAGGATACTTCAAGGGCACCTCCTATGACCGTAATATTTGCAACGTGTGCAAATCACTCACCACGGGAAAAATTTTGCCGATGGTTTACTGCACCCACTTCCGATTTGTTGTTTGTCTCTTGGGTCTTGTTTACGGATGAGGCAACATTTGGAAGAGATGGAATAACAAACATGCACAACCAAATCTGTGGGCGGATCGGAATCCGCATAGTACAATACAGGCTAGACATCAGCATCCGTTTATGATTAATATGTGAGCTGGAATTGTAGGTAACTTTCTGGTGGGTTCATATGTTCTCCCAGTACACCTTACAGGAGCTGTCTACAGGGTCTTTATTTCGAACACATTTCCAGATCTGCTAGTGGATGTAACCCGGCTAATATAAAAACGCCTGTTGTTCATGCATGATAGGGTCCAGCACATTTTAGTCACATTGTTTCTGATACGCTGGCTGATATTTACCATGATAGATAGTTAGAGGCGGATTGGTTCCATATCCTGCACGTTCTCCCGGCCTCAATCTGTAGGGTTACCGAAAAAAATTGATTTATGCGACAGGCATTAATAATGCAGAAACGCTTCATCAACGTGTCATAGGGGTCTGCGAAATTATACGTTACTGTTTGGGGATAACTGAAAGTGTCCGCCAGGCAATGATCTAACGGGTGCAGAAGTAAGTGGATGACATTTTGAACATCTGTTATGAGTTGCTGTGTGGAGGTACAATGATGATTTTTGGACATATGTTCATATGGACATATTACCTTTGTTCTGGTGTCAGGAATCCACCCTCAATGTTTGTAAACGTATTTTTGATACACTATATATATATATATATATATATATATATATATATATGTAAGAGAGAGAGAGAGAGAGAGACAGACAGACAGACAGACAGATGAGAAAAAAGCTTTGATAGAGAGAAGAAAGTGAAGAAAATGAGAGAGTTAAAAGACTGAGAGAGAAGTGAGAATTTAAAGAAAATGATAGCTGAGGAAATACATAGAAATGAAAAGGAAAAAAAATAAAACAGAAAGATGTAATAAATGCCAGTAAAAAAACAAACCGGATAGACAGATAGATAGATAGATAGAGAGAGAGAGAGAGAGAGAGAGAGAGAGAGAGAGAGAGAGAAAAAACGAGGGAGAAAAATAGAGAAAAGTAGACTGAAAGAGGCTAGAAAAGAGAGAGAGAGAGAGAGAGAGAGACAGGTTGACAGAAGAAGGGAGAAATCGGTGTATACACATATGGGAGGAGAGTGCGGGAGTGAGACTTCGAGAGTAGTGGGGGGGTGTTGATTCTATGCATCGGCCCGCAGTGGCCTTTCTTTTTGTCGTCGATCCGCCATATTACTGGCCTGCCGCTCGACTACTCCCGTCGGTAATCACACGGGAGCGAGATCTGTTAAAATTGGCGTCGCTCTGTCGTCACGTGGGCGAAAACCTTATCCATTCAGACGCTAAATGAGAATTTTCCTGCAGGTTTCCATGGCAACTGGGCACTGACGGAGCAAGTCATTTAGCTTGTATTGATCCACAAATATAATTTTGTTGTAGATACATGGCAGATCGAAAGAGAGAGAGAGAGAGAGAGAGAGAGAGAGAGCGGGAAACAACAGGGAAAGAGATGGAGGTTGGGGAGGGGGAACTGGGTGATGAAAAGTAAGAAATAAAAATAATGATGTATTCGAAAACGCAATCACGCACAGAGAGAGAGAGAGAGAGAGAGAGACAGAGAAAAAGAGAGATTGAGAGAGAGAGTGAGTGAGAGTGAGAGAGAAAGTGTAAGAGAATACACATATACAGAAAGTGCAAGAGAAAGAAAAAAGAATGAAAATAATGATAAGTGTAAATATAAATATTTATTAATTTATAAATGGAAATATATAGTGTGGACATGGGAAGCGACACTGCATGGTGAGTGGGAGTTTTACCCGTTTTATGAGTTCATTACACCTATAAACACACACATTTGTATATGTGATATCTCTTCATAAATTTAATTTAACTATCTAAAACTCTGACGAGCGGATTAAATTTGCGAAAATTATTTATCTCTATTTTAGCCCCCTCATTATTTTGATTTTATACGTTAGATAATTTACATATATATATATATATATATATATATATATATATATATATATATATATATATATATATATACAGTAGCGAGCATAAAGATCATAACGATGTTAAGAAAAAATCTAAATATGAAATAACTTTTTATTTTAAAGCTTCAAAGAACATTTTATTAAGGAAAAATAATGATATAAAGGTATATAATTCCAAAATATAAAGCTCAATAAAGCTTATTTTGATAAAGTTATAAGAATAAATATATAACATTCGAAAAAATAGATGATCAAAAACATCGAAATCCATAAAATTTAATAATTATTTTTAGGGTAAGAATATAAAATAGGGTATTTTAGTAAATTACACCGGATCTTTACTGGCAAAGTAAACATGGCGAAAAAATCTGTGACGTCACTGGAACTTAGAAAACTGATAGTCAATTTATGTAATGAAGATAAACTTTCGATTGGGGATATTTCAAAGAGTGTGGGGAAATCTAAAAGTGCTATTCATTGTATTTTAAGAAAACTAGGTCATGTGAAGCCAAGAAACCACCTGGAAGGCCTAGGAAAACTACTGCAAGGGAAGACAGATGGATTGGTAATGAATCAAAAAAGGATCAATTTGCGACAGCAACCGCTATCTCTAAAATAGCTAATGCTAACCTTGGCATTAAAATATCAAGCCACGGTTTTTCCCGAAGACTTAATGAAATAAATCTTGAACAGTCGAGTAGCCTCTTCGAAGCCTTACATTTCTAAAAAGAACCAAATGAGCCGATTGAAATTTGCCACTGAACGTCATATGGACAGAAGAACAGTGGGATTGTGTTCATTTCAGCGATGAGTCAAAGTTTAACCTGTTCGGTTGTGACGGGAGAAGGTTCGTTCGACGCAGTCCTAAGGAACGATATTTGCCTCAGTTCACTAAAAGCAGCGTTAAATTTGGAGGAGAACGTGTGATGGTGTTTGGCATGATTTCAGATGCTGGTACGAGACCTCTTGTTAGGTTACACGATAAAATTAATGCAACTGTATACAAAGAGATATTGAAGAAACATGTCGTACCTAATTTGAGAACTGCAATTAATCAACCAGCTGTATCTATGCAAGATAATGCGCCGTGTCACACAGCGAATCTGTTAAGACATTTCTTACCGAGTAGAATGTTGCTGTTATGGAGTGGCCTGCTCAAAGCCCAGACATGAATCATAGTGAGAATGTTTGGAAGTTACTAAATGAAAGAGCCAAGGAAAAGAATCCAACAAACGTCGAAGAACTATGGACTAATTTGAAAGGAGAATGGGAGAAAATATCCGTTAATGAATGCAAGACATTAATTGGCTCATGTCGCAAAAGATGTCAAGCTCTTATTGAAAGTAAAGGTCTACACATCAATCTATCTGTCATCGGTTGCAGTAATTTTCCTAGGCCTGCCAGGTGGTTTCTTGGCTGCACATGACCTAGTTTCCTCAAGGTTTCTTAAAATACTATGAATAACAGTGTTTATCTTCATTATGTAGCTTGACTATCAGATTTCGAAGTTCCAATGACGTCACAGATTTTTTCGCCATGTTTACAATGTAAGAGCCAGCAAAGAGCCGGTGTAATTTAGTAAAATACCCGATTTTATATTCTTACCCTAAAAATTTTTCAATAATGCAAAATAATTATTAAATTTTATATCGTTCTGATCTTTATGCTCGCTACTGTATATGTGTGTGTGTGTATGTATGCGTGTATATATATATATATATATATATATATATATATATATATATAAATTATCTAACGTATAAAATCAAAATAATGAAGGGGCTAAAACATCGTTCTGATCTATATGCTGGCTATTGTATATATAATTAGAAATAGTCGAGTCAAATCACAATACACATAGATTGAAGATAGCGTTCAAGCATCAAACAAACTGTTCACAATATCTACAATTAATTTTAATAAATGGATTTTCCCGCACTAGGCAATCATCAGGTATAAATAAACTTGTACTTATCTGGTTAAAAATTCTGGGTTAGCGGTGTTAGTTGGATAAATTATTACTATTAGTAAATATTTAATTGCCCTATAATTTAAATGTAAATTTAGGTTCAAACATAGATTTATAATTAAAAAATGAAAACTCTAATATCATTTTAAAATTTAAACGGTGGGTAACGCTAGTATCAATATACGTTAAAAAGGATATATACTATGTTTCATGGAGTTAACTCTTTTTTTTTTGCTCAGGGTAAACAACTTAAAAGGTGATATCAATAATATAGCAACAATAGGTAAGCAGTAATAAAATAATAATAATAATAATAATAATAATTCAACAATATTTAATCACTGATAATATAATAATAATAATAGGTAATAGTAATATTAATAATAGGTAATAGGAATATTAATATGATAAAATAATATTAATAATGTCAATATTAATGATATAATAATAATAGTACCTTTAATAATAGTATATGTGCGGTCCGAATGAGAAAAAAAAAACTATATTAATCTGGGACAGCGTGCTTGAATTGGTATTTGTTTCTAGGTATGCATGTGATAAATTAACTCACTTTTGTTTAACAAGTTAGGGCTATCTATATGTTTTAGAATGGCAATTTTTTAAAAGACATAAATTACATTTATTGCCTTTTCCGCTGAAAGTTTTGGATTTTGTTACGTAATCCCAGGTTATCGTTGTGTTTCTATTACCGCGTTTTATTTTACAGAAAAATTTAGTGAGAGCAGTACTGTTACTATATTTAATATTGACTAATGTCAATTTTTGATCGTAGAATAGTGATTTCCAATGGTTTTCAGTTGAACTAAAATAGAATGTGACCGACCCATCCTGTTTGATACGAGCTCTATAAATTATATCTTTAGGTTTGCACTTTCCATTCAGTGGCCAGTTCTTGTTTTTCAGCACTTGTATTCGTTAGTTGTGGGGTTACTTTTATCTTGTGGGTTGGTTAAGTGTTTATTTAGTATAATATTGTTGTGCTGTTGTATATATTGGTCAGTGTTTTTAGCACACCAATAGCCAACTTTAACCTTGTTTTTATTGTAAATCCTTTTTAGCGTTCTGGAATAGCTAAAATGCTTATAGATTAAATTCATAAAAAATCTTCCGATGTTACTTTTGACATTGCTGTTAAAGGATTGGTTAAACCACATGATATTAACCCACACTTTAGAAATGAAGTTACCTCCCTTACATACTCTTAAAAGTTAATTTTAAATTGACTCTAACGGAGCGTGTTTCATGCGCATTTACAAAAAAATCTACAACTATCAATTATATTAATTTTTGTCTTAGCAATTCATCTCTCTCTCTCTCTCTCCTCTCTCTCTATATATATATATATATATATATATATATATAACGAACAAATCAAATGAAATTTTTAGATCTTTTTTCCATTCCAGTTTCGGAAATGTAATCTGCTCGTCAGGGCGTTAGTTAAATTGAAATTATGAAGAGATATCATATATACAATAAAAGTCCTTAAATACATTTCTATTTGTTCTTTGTTAAGGGTGTGACTGCAGAACATAATCTAATGTTTTGGTCATATACGTTAGATAATTTTAAGATAGTTTTTATATTATGAATAGGAATTAATTATTATTATTATTATTATTATTATTATTAATTAATAATATTTCTCATCGCATTGAGTAGTTCACTTACAAAATCTGCTTGCCTTTGCCTCCTGAAATACACTAGAAGACATTCTCTTTCTGGAGAGGAGGAGGTGGGTGTGAAATATTATTATTACTATTATTATTATTATATATGTTGCGTGTGTGCGTTTAATTGCTTATTTATACATTTGAATATTTTAATCCATATAGATGTATTCTAATAACTGAAGTACTAAAATTGAAACTATCCGTTGATGTATATTTCCAGATTTTCCATAGATTCATTTTTGTGTGTCATATAACGAGTACACATAAATCCACACAAAAGACACACCCACACATATACATATATATCACACGGACCGGACAATTATTTTATATATATATATATATATATATATATATATATATATATATATATATATATATTTGGTTGGATAGATGTGAGTTTGTGACCCTGGGTTTCACGCTTTAGCGATCGTCAGACAAACTCTATGTTAGCTCTATCTCTGTTATTGAGCGCTTTCTAATAAGTACCGCGCATATAATATATAAATAATTATATATATTTATTTATATATACACACTCACACACACACACACACACACACACACACACACACACACTCACACACACACACACACACATATATATATATATGTATATATATGCTCTTTTTTATACGTGATTTTTATAGAGACAAATATTTAAGTAAATGTTCTGTTTTTAATAAACAGTATTAACTACATTGACCGACCTCAATATCCGAGAATCTCAAAGAAAATATGTGTTTTCGACAGGGATCCAGCCTGTATCCTATATGGCACCTTCATGTAGTCTGACGTGCTACACTATTTCGCTACAGAGTAAGCATCTGTTTAGCAATGTTAGAATTAACATTAATAGTTGTATGGATATCAGTTTGTGACCTCTGAGTGTGTCTGATGATCGCAAAAGCGTGAAATCCAAGGTCACAAACTCATATCCATGCAACACACACACACACATATATATGTATATGTATATATATGTGTGTGTGTGTGTGTGTGTGTACGTTCCAACGCTATTTT